CTTGTATTAAAGTTTTTCTTCATTACCCATTTAAGCCATCTCCAACCATTATTAGTCTCAAAGTGGGTTCCTTGTCATCGAATCTACTAATACTATCTATTGTGAGTTAAGTAGTCATTATTAATAACTCCTGATCTAGATAAGCTACTTACACAAGTTAGCACTAAAACCTAGAAATGTGGTTTCTTCATTTTTTCAACAACATTTCGATTTTGAAAATCATGCATACAATTTTCAGTCACTTAATAGCCCACATGAAGGTTATGCACTTGACCCTGGAATATTTGTTGTACTTGTAGAATGGATACTTGGCTTTGGATACACCAGTTTCAAATAAATAAGAAAAAATATTATGCTAAAATTATTTATTATTTGACAGATCTTCTGTTTTTTAAATTATTATGATAAAGACAGATACTTCAACAAATAAAACAGTTTTACTTTTTTGTTATTTAAGAAACTAAAATGAAAAAAAATACAGAAGAATAAAAACACAAGTTTATCATTTTTTATGTATTTCACCAAAAGTTGGAACATGTAATTACTAATATGAAATTTTACAAACAGGTATTGGTTTTACAGAAACATATAACAGAGAGTCTTGTAACAAGAAACTACTACTCTAACATTAGTTACAAAATATATTTCTTATGTCATAGTTGTTGCTCATAATAGTCATCCACTAATTTTTTTTTTACAATAACTGTTGGTTCCTTTTATATATGTAATAAATGATATATATTAATAGATGAGAAGTAATTGTGTATTTTTTAACATTAAGGATTTTCTCTATTTAAATATTGAATGAACTGACTTGTTTGGATAGCCAGGCTTCAAATATTTTGTTGCAAAATTGATTTCAGAGTTGGTCTTAAAACTAAAACATGGGAGTTTAGCATTGATAACAACCAAGTTATGAATGAAAGAAGAAATTGTGTATTTTTAACTTTTTAAAATTCTAGATTATGTGTGTTATATTTGCATATAAAAATACTTAATAAGGCTTAAGATTTTAATAGTGCCAAGCTAGAATGAACATTTTTTTTAAAGACTGAAGAATTAAAATTTAACAGAATTTCTTACAGGTCAATGTGTATTTACCATTGTTCTAAAGACTACCATACTTTGAAATGTTCATGTATTTTATGCCTTGTTTATTTTTCCAGACAAGTCACCACAGATGTGTTTTTTGAATGTATATTTTTAACTTCTGATTTGAACATTATCAAACTTTGTTCTCAATACAGAATATGAAGCAAGTTTCATCCGTCTTCTGGATAAGCTTACAAACGGGTCCCTTATTGAAGTGAATGAAACAGGTGAAAATGTGTATTTGTATGTTTTGTAATGAAATCTGTTGGTCTGTTAGTTACAAGTTTTAACTACCTGACTTATACACGAGTAAATCCATCTCAGTTTGCAGTGTTTTTTAAATGTGTACCTCAAATGTAATACACAGTTTCCAAAAATTTATGGATAGCTGTAAAAAAAATAATGAATATCTGCATAATTTATTCATGGAAATACTTTTTCATGTAAAACGTTATTTTGTTTATATTTTTCTTATATTGTTCTTAAAATTATTTGCTACATTCATGACTTTTGCTTTCTCATCTACTCTATATCTAAAACATATTAAGGGTATAGAAAAGTTTTACTTTTATAATATAAATAACTTAAAACTTCCCATATTGTGTGTGG